TATTTTAAATTAAAAGAAACATGTGTGTACCTATTTAAAATTAAAAAATGCATGTTACACGTTATCTTCATATATGTTTTTTAATAAAATAGGTTTTCCTCAAGAGTGGTCCCACGCTTTACAAAAAAACTTATGATTGCTTATCTGTGTACAGGTTAAATAATACAAGTAGAATTATGTAAAATGTAATAATAGACATATTTATATTTTTAAATTGAAGAAATTGTTCGTTTATTTTGTTTGTTTGAACGGCTGTAATCTCTGTAACTACTACTTAGGTTTAGATTACTGTTTTTTTTACTTCTTCTTATAAAGAAGAATTATATGCTGTCAAAGCAGAACCAGCTGTCAAAAGCTATCTGTACTGATATCTAAAGCTAAAAAGTTTGTTTGTTTGAACGCGCTATACAACCTCTGAACCTACTTGGAAAAAATCATCTTCTTTAATAACTCTTTTTGTGGTTTATAGTCTACTAGCAGAATCGCGACTGCGTTCGGGCTAAAAGTACACAAAAAACTCCAAAAAAGGTAGGGTTCATACAAACTTTCATCCCTAATTCTACCCCCTTATGGGATGAATTTCGAAAAATGCTAAGACACATATTTATTTAATAGTATTGAAGAGCATTAATACCAAGTTTCAAGTAATTCTGATCATAAATAATTTTAGGGTTTGTATTATAACGTGTTTTCCCGTGGGAATGAGATAATTTCCCGCGGTAAAAAGTAGCCTATGTCACTCTCCAGCCCTACAGCTATCTCCACACAAAAAATCAAGCCATATCACTTCGTTTCGACGTCAAAGAAGTAAAAATAAAGAAACAAACGAACTTTAGTATGGATTTATTGAAGGAAGTTATATATTTATTGAAAAAGGCTTAAAGGTAAATGTAATTAAAAGAAAGAAAAAGAAAGCAAGAAAAAGAAAACGCTTATTGAATATAAATGAAGTCGAATCTAATTTTGTTCTAAGAAAACAAAACCTATGGAGCAACAAGTACGTAACTTAAGCGGCTTAACTTTTTAAAACAAATAATTTCAGACCCTACGATCGTTAAAGTATTTCAACAATTGGTTCTCAACTCTGTTCAATTACAGTTAATTGTTTAAATTGAAAACAATTTTCCAATTTAGTTTTGTTTTTCATCCAAATGGGTCATAGTATGTAATTAATAATAGGTTTAAATACTTTACTTGGAATGATGTATGCTTCAACTAGAAACTTCATGGCTAAATACAATAGAAATAAGTTACAATTATATTTAAGAAAGATAATAAATATTATTATATTTTTAACAAAATGGGTAGATGAATAGCGGCTCACCCTCGCTTCGCTGGGTTTCATCTGTCGTACAAAACAAAACCCTATCTATTCCACGGGAACCGTGCATTTTTCCGGGATAAGAAGCGTATGTGCTATTCCATACTAATCTACCTGTGCGCCAAATTTCATCCAGATCCGTTCAGCCGTTCTGGCGTGATTGAGTAACAAACATCCATACATCCAAACTTTCGCATTTACATTGTAGTAAGGTTTTTTACCATATTTACCTTTTTTGCGCTAGATAGTACATAGTTAAGATACATAAGCAATTTTTTTTACATACCTCGACACATCATTTGTTATGTAAATCAAAGATTACCACAAAAGGAACTGGACTAAGCGCGTTCATACGAATTTAGACTAAACGAGGATAATGAAAATTGCTTAAAACAAATAATTATTTTAAAAAAAAATAACATTTTTTTCCCAAGGTAAATGATAAAGAAACAAAAGCACCGCACACTATTCATTTAAAAATGATTCAGCCTTTGAAAGGTTCATAAAAAGCCACTTTAACAGAAGCTGATATTTTTTATCTATTGTACAATTGTCAAGTCACTGTATTTGAGGAGCTGTGATTGGTTGACAGCTGATCTTTGACGACCAATCAGAGTGATTTCGAAATTTGAAAGTCATCTTTTCTAACATTTTAAATGATGACTAGCGACTAAGATTATAAGAAGTAGCCGGTGTATTGTCTCGGAGGTTGTATAGAAAATGTCTATACTTATACGTTATGTACCTATGTATATACACATATATATATATATATATATATATATATATATATTAATGTTCGTGCAAAATCAATAATTCCAAAATTTGTATACCTACTGAAGTTTTTGCTTTTAAATTATTTTTACCCATATCTTTTACTTATAGGTACATCTTTCAACCGAATTGCTTGAAAAATTAAACACAGGAGCTATATAACATATAAAGGCAAATCTTTAGTTAATTTTAATCAAATAAATAAGTTTATTTTTAATTTCACGATGCTTTTTCATTAGAAAAAATATAATTTTATATTGTCGCATTCGACTTAAGTTAAAATCTAAGAAATTCTCTCAAAAATGTATATGTTATAAGACATTATTATTATTTTAAGTGAAATAAAATAGAAAAAGGAAAAAAAAAAATAATTTTTAATTATTCAAATACATATTAAAAGAATAAGACTGCAGTTCGTTATGTATTTAAATATTAATCTTATAGCATAGGTATATAGATATACCTATGTATTATTGTATTTAAATATTCATATTTCATTATTTATTTTATACTAGCGGCTAACCCTCCCTTCGCTCTACATATATTTGTTTTAACGGTTATTATGGAATAGATATGATGAGTCCATTCCTTCCTTGAAAAATGATTTCCAGGATAAAAACTATACCACATTCCAGGGTCTCAAAACTATCTTTATAACAAATTTCATCTCAATCGGTTTAGCGGATTTTTAATTTACCCATTACAAACAAACATACAAAAATACTGTACCTATAGATGCCAGTATTTTTATAAATTGACAGAAAATACTTTAAGTAGCATTAAGCTCGCCTTTTTACATCATACAATAAAAAAAATATATAATACAGTTTTAACAATACGTTTTATCAACATAGAAAGCACATTAGATTTTCCCGCAGCGATTTTTAATCTAGTAACAATTTGTATGACATGGGAAACTAGAAACCAGTAAATAACATTACTAGAAATACACAGAGTCCGCTCATTTCGTCACACAATATATTACGAATTAAAGTCATCCATCATCATTTTATTCTGACATGACGCCTTCCGATCCACAAATGAGTTTTTTTAACTCGAGTGTGCGGTAGCCTTTATGTTTTTTCTACTTTTTTTTATATTTTTAGGCTATTGTTTACAATGACACCTTTGTTATCTGTACTTTATTAACATATTTTTTGTCTGTACTACAAAATAGATGGTGTTAGCTTCTAATGTTGACGAATTATAACGATATATTATACAGATTTGTTTGTAATGTAAGCAAAATCATTTATCCGATTGCGATGAAACTTTGACAAATTGATGTACAGGTTTTTGTTACCAATGTTAAATAGTTGAAGACTATGTTGTAACATATATTATGTAAAGACGATGTCAGAAAAAAACTCGTACAAGTCACGAAAAATATATTTTTTTTTACAATATAAAGAGTACAATAAATATTCTTTTGCTCTACAATAGTAGATACTAATAATTTTGTACGTACTAATACTCTACACTACACACGATATAAACTTAATAGCCAAAGTATCATTTGAACATTTAAACTAACATGAAAATGTCTGGACAAAAAATTATTAAATTGCTATAAAACTTAATTAAAATCTTTTCAGCGAATTTCATTATACAGCTCGACCTAACCTTAATTTCCTATATCATAATTATTGCAGATTAAAAACACAGGAAAAGTCATAACTGAAGCCTAGTTCAGTAAATATATTACAAAACCATTGTTTCTATTTAGTTCTCGTTGACTCGCAAGGCTCGGAATAAGGTCAAATGTAATTTATTACTTGTTAAAACAAAAAAAATGATTGATTGATATCGCCTTTCACTACACTTTTGGGATACCTACTTACCTACTTAAAATCATTATGAAATTGTGTTACAATATGTACAATTCGTAGAATTTTTGTATGTTTACCTCAATTTTAAATTTTTTTAAATCAAAACATTACAACAACAAATTTATTTTTATTTTTCATAAAACAATATTAATAACTGAATAACTAATACTAATATGTCGTCGTATTTTCAAGTCAATTTGACTCGGATAGATTCTTTATGAGTTTAGGGGTAAAAGGTTGTTAATTCAACCCCTATTATATATATTATATTATTTGCTGCCTTGTATTATTGTTCTTTAAACAACACTACATATAATAAGCAAATCCATTGACCAAAAGCTGTATAAAGCTTTAAAAATAAAACACATTGGTTCAAAGACGCGGTAGCAAAACCGAAATTGATAAAAAACGCACCGACGACTCATCAATGTGCGTCGAGCAGTAAATGGGAAAAATTAAATTATAATAAAATTAACTTGAGATTACTTTATACCGTTACATAGTACTAGGAAACGTTAGAGGGAACACAATTATATGCTTCAATTGAGTATTGATAATTAATGTTTTTACTATCGGCTTCGATCTTTGATTTTTTTCTTTAAACGTTTCACTTGATTAGGTTTTGCCAGTGTTAACAAAGATACCGGAAGATTATCTACATGTATAGAAAAAATATTTGGGATATAATATAGTTATATAAGATATATTACTAATGACTTATTATTAATTTTACTTCCAATCCAAATAGAACCAAATAAGTCCAGCTATTTTAGTGTTAAGGAGTAATGAACATACACAGGCACACAATATGGGTCTGTGTGTGTGTATGTTCGTCTATGTGCTAACACACAATTTATATGTTATAGAACTTTGAGATAAATAATACTTCTTGTCTATCTGTTGAAAGCTACAGTGACTTCTGAATCAATGTTTAAATGGAGACATACTACTTCATTTACAAAAATGCAAAATTTTTATTTAAACCCATTAGTAAATAGATCAAATGAAACAGATTTTACTTTCCTAAGGTCTGATAATTATAATTCACAAGTGTAGTTTTCAAACATTTTTATTTACTTCTCATGAAACTGCAAAAAAATATTCATAAACAAAATTCTAACTAGTCATTAAAACAAACAAACAGTCAAGTAATTATAAGGAAATATAAGCAATTATCTATAGTTGTTGAAGTAATTAGATGTTCCGACTTCAAGATTATAATCATTTTTTTTATTCAGTATTTTTTTAAATGAACTAGACGAAGATTGAAAGGTTAGTGTAATTTCTATTATTTGTATAACAGTGGCGCCGCTCTAATTAATAATTTACATACGTTAAGGGAAATAAAGTTTTTTAGTTACTGAGCGTCGGCACTTGCTTCTATACATTCATTGGACTATTATTACTTTAGTTTTAAATGTATAACATGAGGTAACTATATCTCATTTGAATACAATAAATCTAACTTCACAGACCTATCAGCAATTATTAACTTTATTAACTTATACCTTTTAAGTGTAAAAAAGTAGTATAATATATATATATACATAAGTTACCTCACATGTCTATGAAAAAAAATTAATATGGCCGTTTTTTTATTTCAAATTATTTATTTAATTTTATATCGAATTCCTAAAATCATTTGTTACTAAAACTAAGAATGGTACTAATTGATTTAAAAAAAATCATAAATTTTTCATAAATTTAATAATATTAGATATCAATCATAATTTTTTCATTCGATTTTAAATTTTCATATATTTTATTATTTTATATGTCACTTCTAACCATTTTAAGGCCTTAGTGCCAGCGCAGCGATTATTCATTCTACACGGTGACACATGACGAATCAATTCTTTATGAACCAATCGAATGGTTACGTATGGCGCGAAACATTTTTATTTTCCATATTTTTATTTATCAAAACGTTTTTAAGTCTAATAAAGTTGTGAAATAACTAACGAAGGTTTTAACAACATTGTATCTTTAATTTCATTGGCTTTTAAATTAGAATTAGTTATGAAATAAAATCTGTATGTTGCGGCTTACGTACGAGCTTAATGTTTTTTCTCTTTCTTATACTTTAAGAGTGAGAGAGGAAGATGTGTTAGAAAATTTAGCATTGAAACAGATATTGTATAAACTAGTAAAACGTCAGCGGAAAGACGTTTGATTAAAAATTACTACTGATTCATATATCAATTACTCTTTTTTAATCTTAAATTATACATATTCAAAATGTTTATGCTCTTTTTAGTATAAGCATCTAATGGGAATCGAACATATAACCTTTAAAGATAATATCAGTTAAAAAATACATAGGTACTACACCATACCAAAGCCTATTCCCATAGCCATTTGAAAGTGGATTTCACATCATGAAAATAAAAGAAAAAAACAAACATTTGTCTATACTGTACTTAAATATTAAAAATAAAAATCCATACAGCAAATTGCTATTTCTAAACGTCGCTATCCGTCACAGATTAGATATGAAAAAAAAAAATGTTGTCTTTTAATTACACCTTATATCTTTAATGTACTACCGACTTTTGATTTGTGTAGTGCTATTTTTATATCTATGAGAGTAATTTTAGAGTCGATTTTCATTTGCTGTGATTTAAATAGAAAAAAAAACTAAGAACATACACACTTGCTTAATTATTGCCTTCGCGACATAATTACAATGTTCGTGTAAGTCTACGTTTTTATTTTTTAAAACTAGATTGATAAGATTTTTTTATTCGTCCACGGAATACAGATAATAAATGTTTTGATTATTTAATGTCTTTCGATCGGAGTTTTGAAATTCGAAGAAGTGATGGAAATGTAATTATTAAGTTTATTGACTCGTTTAAGAATTATCAGAAATACTATGTAACTACCAAATAAAATATACAATTTGAAATTTTATTTCATACCTGAATCCATACTTCCATACTAATATATAAATACGAAAGTCATTCTGTCTGTCTGTCGTCTGTCTGTCTGTTACCTTAAATTTGGTATGGAGATAGTTTGACACCCTGGAAAGGCAATAGGAAAGTTTCTATCCCGGAAATCATCCCTTAAAGGGGTAAAAAGGGGGGTGGAACTTTGTATGGGGAATCAATCATTTCTCAAGTAAGGGATGGAAGGGATGTACATGTACATAGGTATACTATATAGTTTATGTATTCCATACTAACCGTCTTAAGGTATCTAGGGACGAACCTGAGCGAAGCGAGGAAGAGTCGCTAGCAGCATAGAAAGAAACCTATAATCTACAGCTTACACATAATTCTTAAGGGCCTGACAAAATCTGACACCAACTAAAAACCACAACAACGAAACCAAATGAAAAAATAAAATATATAGGAGATACACCACTTACCTGAGTTTGGGTTAGTCCGAGGCTTGCCGCTAATTCTGCCCTCTCGGGGAGGGCTAGATACTGAGTCCTTTGAAATCTTCTGTTCAACTGCTGTAGTTGAAGACTGGAGTAAATTGTGCGAGGCTTCCTCATTTTCTTGCCTTTCCCATTCACTCGTAGACCTGGGTCATCTGACAGACCACATTTTTCTGAAATTAATAAAGTTTATTTAGTACATTGCTGACGACTACATACATCGAAAAAATCACAACTTCTGTACATCATATCAAGGTCGTGGGCAAAATTGATAGTATTGTATAGGATTTCCTATCCCAAGGTAGGGTTTTTTTTCAGGATAAAGTAGCACGATGTTTTTGACCGACGTTTTTTCAGTCAGTAAAAGTTTCCTAAGAATCGACATAAACAGAAAGGTGTATAAGAATGTTTAGTGATCGTGTACCTATTTCCAGTAATCGTTGTGTTATTTGTAATCATTAGATTTTTAAAACCACAGTTCTACCCTTGCTCATTATCATACTGCTTGATAGCGATCTGCTCTCACTGTCTTCGAGTAGGTACATCCCTAGATACAATTTCGGTTATAAATTCAAAAAAATGTCTGTATGTATAACACTACCAAAAGTCTCAGAAAAGAGGTTTTTTTAACTTAATTCATGAAATTACATTATATCCATAACTTATTTTTGTAATATATCTATAAATTATAGTCTACTACCGCCCTAGGTATTCTATCTTTCAATTGATGAAAATTCTATGAAAATCCGTACAGCACTGAGGTTATTCCGAAAAAACACAATCTCAGTCGCTAGTTTTATTATAAAGTTTTTAGCAGAATCGAACACCCGACATTCGGTAAGCTATATTGATATTCTATAGATATTCTTATAAAATACCGTATAAAGAGGTACTAAAAACAAAAAGACATCCCTACATCGAGATCGCACCATATCAATAATTACAAGTTGCTCGATCAAGTAGCTGGCGAGTGTACTGTAAGATTTATTTATTATTTTTATATGAAATATTGGTACTTCCCTTTTATCAATCAAAATATTTCTTAATAAACTACACGTATTTTGTCCGCATGTTCATATAAAAGTTTTTTCTAGGGTTAGACATGACCTTTACTATCTGAATATGAAGATTCATTGACTTCAAAAATATTTTAAGGACGGGAAGGACGACAAAAACCAAGCTATCCCACGGCAAAAATACATTTTTCCGGAATAAAATGTATTGCCTATGTGTTATTTCAGACTATCTATCTCTGTGCAAAATTTTATCTATATACGTTCAGGCGTTCTGGCGTGAAATAGTAACAAACATCCATAGTCACAAACTTACATTTATAATTTTTTTATTATACAGATGAAATTACTATACCTTCACGAGTATTTTTTTTAATTTATGTTTAATTAGATAGGTTTTACTATGTTACCACTTGAAGTTCACATCCATAAAAAGCTCATAAATAGATAAAAAATATATTAATTTACTTATTATGTTCCTTTAAGTCGTAAAATATTATTTCTAATGTCACAAAAAGAGACAATCGTCTAAAAAATATGCTTAGTGAGCTCGTAGAAAGTGTTTTGCACCCTCAGACTAGGGAATAACATAATGTTATCGAACTACATATGAAACTACACAATAACGCTTTAAAACAGTATACAATACTTTTTTAGATTTACGCGAATATTTGACATTTTAAATAAAACACAAATAAATCTTTTTGGATTTTTTTCATTCAATTCAATCCAAATAAATTCGCAAAAAAATCCGAAGAGATAGTTTTATTTAAAACAGTATACAGATGAAAGTTTGTATACTAAATGATAAGTAAATAAATATTATTATGTAAAAATAGCTGACAGATTTTATTATAATAAAGAAAAAAAATCTATTATGTCAACTCCCTTTCAATGGGAAGAGAACCTTTAAAGAAAATAAAGGATTCGTATGGGATAATAGATTAGTAGCATAAGCAGCAAATTACGCTACCATTTTTAAAATTTTATTATTTACACCATAAGAATAAGACAGTAAATTAATATTAAATCTTAGACGAAGAAATTTCAACAATAGCAATATTTAGATAGGCTATTTTAACGAATAAAACATTTATTTCTGAACGAAATCCCCATACAAAACAAACGATGGATGAAGTCGAGTTTAACAACTAGTATCGAAGAGATTGTCATCAAAATATCTTCATAGTAACAAATCATGCACCAAAAGTATATCACTTTAGATCACGATACGTAATTACACGTTAACCGACTATTATAAAGTAGCTTTTGAATTCTTACGATTTATTACTAGCCGTGTGAATAGGAAGCTTTATATTTATACTAGCGGCTCACCCTCGCTTCGCTCGGGTTCGCCTCTGGAAAATTCGTACAAAATTCACAACAGTTTCGAATATTAACCCGCATAAAATTATAACAGACAAATAGACAGAAAAACAAAAAATTGAAAAAAAAACTGGATTTGTTCTATGTCTCTTCTTACATCCACCTGACTCGATTTTTAGCATTTTTTTTTACAGACAGACATTCGACCTCTACTGTTTTATTTTATGTATAGATATCTATATAGTATATCTGTATGTGTTGGATTGCAAAAGAATAGACTTATCTATACTAGAAATAGATATTTCAATTTTTAAATCTAAGAATTTTTTGGTTGATAAAATAATATTTAGAGTGCGTATAAAAATTTCAAAGTGAAGATATTAAGAAATGCTTACAGCAGCACATATACTGACACTAGTGACTTACCCATGCTTGGTTTAGGTACATCCCTAGCAGCTCGTAGTTTATTTGTGTAAAATTTTATCCAAATCGGTTCAGCAGTTTCAGCGTAAAGGAATAACAAACATATTTACATTCAAATTTTTGGATTACAAGTCATATTAAACAAGCAGAAAAGATTGTTTTTAACCTTTTTGTTTGATTTACCGCGCTAGCCTCTTTAACTAGTATTATTATAAATAACTATATAGTATCAACAGTAATCCCACTTTACTTACACAACGAAAATTGTATTTTTTTACTTATGGCGTGAATAAATGTCAAGTTCGTGTCATAGATTATAAAACATGATAGCTGTAGATTAAAATTTAGTGTTGCCGTCCGATAAAAACTACAGCTGCTTTTCGTTTTAATTTAAAAATGAAATATTGGTATTGTTTTTTAATACCTTCACACCAGTAAAGGGGAAAAATTCTAAATATTATGACACGCATATTTTTATCAATTTTGTATAAATATTTATACAAAATATAATATATAATAATATATATTTTTTCGTATCAGGCTAAGTTATACAATGCGAAATGTTTGACGTATCGCGGTAATAAGTCGTTCAAAGTGGTACTTTTCCGTCGCCTAAATGCTTATTTGTTCAAACGACCAATACATGGAGTACTTTACAGTAGAGAGTTTTTTTTTCTTATTTTAAAAAACAAAGCTTTATTTAGTTTTCTTTAAAAGACATATACATATCTACGTAATGGTTTGATTTAATTTATAGTGTACTAGCATTGCCCGCGACTCTGCCCGCGTTTAGATGACCAAAAAGCATATTCTTAGGTTTTACATAATATTAGTATACTCTTACATTGCAGTTTTTGTATTTTTTCTCAAAAATGGGATATTTTCAGATAGTAAAAAGTATCCTATATGTTGACCCGGATAATCAGCTATCATCATACCAAATTTCATCAAAATCCCTCCAGTGGTGCTTCCGTAACGCGGTAACAGACAGATAGACAAAAATTCTAAAAACTATAGATTCGGCCTCTGTATCGATAATAATGTCTATTTCAATAAGATTTTTTTTTTGTTATTTATTCGTATTCTTCTGAGATTTTTCCATGGACGTTTAAAAAAACTAATGCCACTTTGAAACCTAAGACTAACTTACACGAAAATATCAGTTAAATGCTTTTGCAGTATAATACTCTTCTATTCACTTGAAATACATAAAACAGTTACACATATTGCATTACACGTACTATCCCGGCATATTTATTACCATAATAAGGCTGTTACGCTCTTGATGTATGGTGGAAGAGAATAAACATTTACATTTTGATACGCAAATTGGAAACAATTTTAGTTTAAGATATTTGAATTTTGTAGTGGCAATACTAATTTTTGACCGTATTCAAAAAGGAAAAATCACATTATTTTAGTGGTTATGTTAGTATGGGTACTACATATAATATATAAAGCTGAAGAGTTTGGTCGTTCGTTTACACCCGTTAATCTTTAGATTTTTGTGCCTTATAGCCTATTTTTTAGTCGACGTATGAGAGCGGATTGATTCTACAAAACAAAACAACACGGGCAGACCCGAGAGATAACGCTAGTTCGATATATTCGACAACTGATTTGTATTTCATGGTGGTTACAAATAAAGTAAAAAAAAATAACATTCTATGGGTAGCAAATATAACTTTTAACACCTCCAGGTAAATTTCTATGAAATTAATTAAATTTCTAGGAAATCTATTGTTAACTGTAACGCCGGCGTGTCCGAGGTCGTGGATTGTAGGCAGCGTACTAATAATAGTAATTAATTTGACATACTAAAAGAGATATCATTATATTCTATCTCTTTCTCTCGCAAGTGAAAGTCTAACCTTATAACTATACGTCAGTATGAGAATTTATAATACATTACTGCTATTGAATAATTTAGTCCAATTGATATTACTGGTAGTGCATGTCCATTCAGGACGATTCCCATGGCTTTTATATATACATATATTTACATTTAAGTCGGCTCGACAGACAGACGGACAAAACAATGCCTGCCCAAGGTCCGGACACACCCAGCTAGTGATGCGTACTTGTCGATGTTATAGTGATGTACCTACTTAAAATTTTATATTTTTGCTTTTATGTGACTCGTAATTTATGACAATAGTGTAAGTTATATATTGCGAAGTAATTTATGGCGGAAAACATTACAAAAATATCTTTTTATATAATAAATATGGATACCTACTATACATTTTTTTTTAATTTATCTATTTACTATCAAAATTTTGTCTCTGTACCAAACTAATATAACGGTAAAAGTTTTTAAGAGAGCATGTGTGTTTAATACTTCATCACGCAGTAAGAGACGGTTATGAAATAAATTTGAATTCTCATGGAAATACCACGCGAGCGAAACC